CCAGGTTTTCCTCCCCTCAGTCTCCCCAATATTTTGTCCACTAGATATACTAATAAGCAGCTAAGATGGAAAAAGAAAAATCAAAAGGTAGGAGGAAAAGCAAAGGTCATGATAAATTATATGTTAAGATTTAAATACAAAGATCTCAAATCCTTGAATGAACTGTGATATTTGTAACCAATTAAAGTCAAGTCCCAGGCCTAAAAGAAGACAATAAAAGGTTCAAACATGAACAACCAGCCTGATTTGTAGCCTGAGTACCAAAGCCTTTTAGGTGAAGCATCTACTATACATAAAGCACAGTGTATGAAGGTTGATTGATTGAATAGCCAGTCAGTAAATCAGGTGAAATGCAAGTACAGTGTACATCATTCTAGACAATTAAGTGTCCTATCAGAACACAGTAATTTTAAGCATCCTTCTCTCTACTTCAGCCAAGCTGAACAGCACCTATTAAGTCAATGACATCATTCACTTAATTTTTCAATTATTCATTCAATGATTACTGTTGAAAATCTGTCTATTTTAGGGGTTATGAAGAGAGCACTGAGCTTAGAAAATCTAACTTTACTTTCACAGGGCTTATATCCTCAAGGTCCTTTTATTGTCCAACAGCAATAAAAGGCAGATATAATATAATTCATACAGCCAAACATGTTGAAAAGAAAAATAATATTTGGTAAATAGATGAAGAGTGATGTGCGTGTAAGTCTTGTGAGTGTGTAATCAGGGAAAATGTTGTGTAATTGTAGACAGAAAAGTTACAGAGTGACTCTAGTCAGGTGGCATTTAAGCAGAGACTTGAAGGAAACAAAGGTGTGGTCCATGCCTTGGGGCAGAGCACTTCCAGCACTGAGAAATGTAAAGATTCTCTTTGGCCCATTGAAGACCCACAGTGTAGACTGTGCAGACTGAAGGGCAGGGAGCAAGATTATGAGGAGCCCCGACTGTCCTGGTAACAAAACAAGTTTCACTTATTTACATATATTCAGGGCCAGATATTAACTTACCTAACATGACACAAAATGCCATTTCTTCTAATAGCACTTTTAGTGGAAGTTTGTATTTCAAACAGTCACCTAAGCATCTTAATTATCTTAATTTTTCCTTGCAAAACTTATTTTTTCTAAACAGGAAAAAAATCAATTAACTGGTATCATGACTATGCAAGCATGTGGTTTCCCAAGAGGCTAGTAAATGGCACAGTTGCTAAACCATAGTTTATAAAACAAGATGTTCCCGTTTTTGCTTCCTGAAAAGAACTTCTGGACCCTGTGACGATATACGAAGGAAGAGGAGGCAAAGAAGAGTAGCTGAGAACTGATGCCCAGCAGAAAAATCCCAAAGTTGAGATGCCCCTGAAATGAGGCCAAATAACTCATAGAGCTCAGTGTTCCTGTCTGGTCCTCTGGTGCCCCTCTGGTGCCTCAGCGACTGTCTGAGAAGAAATGCATTCCCCCAGGTAGTAAGAGTGGCTTGGGCTTTGCTATTTGAACACACATTAGTCTGTATGTTTTTTACTGATGTTTATTTGTGTGGCTTATGAAAAAACCATTTAGAAATTTTACACATAAAGCATTCAACATGTGGAGTTGTAGATAAAAACGTTTCATGTGTGTATGTCTGTGTCTGCGTGAAATTACATATAACTGAAATAACTATGTATTTTCACATTTCCCAGGGAAGTCTTGGTTTATTATTATTTATTTATTATTTATTATTCTAGTGAAAGTACTAACAGCACTTGTCTTTAAATATCAGAAATGCCCCATATTGGACAATAAATTATACAGTCACATACTGTAGTTCATGTTCAAAAGGAGAAAAAAGTCTTGGCATACTCAACACTAATGAGGGTTATTTTATTTTGCAAAATATCTTAATCAGAACAGTTGTTACATAAGAGATTGAAAGTAGACTTAATAAAGCCAAAAATAAAAACAAGGTGTGAGGAAACTGATGATAGAAAGAAAACCTGTCCAAATGTTATTACTTACTTTTAAATAACTAAAGTACTCTTTTAAAAGCAAGTACATGTTCCTTCATCCCCAGGATAACTTTAGAACATTAGAGTTGTTATTAAATATCCCGCTCATGTGAGATTAGTCACTGTGTGTGAAGCTCAGATTAAGAAGACAAAAGATGAAGCCCTTTGTTAAAGGAGCTTGTACACGGCAAGAAGAGGCACTCGCGCAAATACACACGTACGAACCCTGAGCTGCATCCCAAATGCAATGACAAGAAGGATGGACAGCTCCCTGGAAGCATGGAGAAAGGAAGAAGGGCAGACACCAGGAAGGGCTCACAAGGCCCCTAGGGAAAGACGATGACTGCCCTGGACTGTAAAAATGAGAAGAAAAGGCAAGCAGAGTCAGGAGGAAAAGGGAAACATTCTAGACAAAAATGTGCCATGTGCAAATGCCCAAGGCATGAAAAACCTTTGAAGATACGGTAACCCCTGAGATCCACTGCAGTGAACATGTGACCGTAGACAAAGCTGGAGAAGTCTTCAGAGATCAGACAGCAGAGATAAACACAACTCTAAATGACCTGAACCATGTTCTCTCCAGCCTGGAAAAAGCAGCAGGAGGCTCCCACTTTATTTTTTTATTTTTTTTTTTTTTTTTGTCTTTTTCGTTTTTATCGGTACCAGGGATCGAACTCCAGGACTGCCTGCTTGCAAGGCAGGCGCTTATGCCACTGAGCTAAATCCCCAGGCCCTGAGGCTCCCACTTTAGCAGCAAATTGCAATCATATTAGTGACAAAGCAGACACTACATTTCAAATCACCTCTGGGCATTTCTTTAATTCCTCAATTGGCTTCAAATCTAAAGAAAGTATGAGGTGCTGATCAGTATTTTGTAAATCTAACTTTAGAGTTTATAATTTCTTGGTAAAACATTTGCTAATGTTGACAAGGTCTGGAAGAGGGCATAGAAGTGTAGTGCCAGCACAGACTGAACGGAGAGACGCAGGAGTCAAAGATCCCAAAGAACAGCAGCTACTGAGTATAGAGCAGACCAGAAGTCTTCCACAGTGAAGATCATTTCTGCAGAGACCAAACATCAATACCAGATTGTAAAGACTCTAATGAGTACAAGTTAGTGACCAGAAATTGACGGTGATCTTGAATATAAGGGAAAAGAGCAGAGTGGTTGATACCATCTGGCCTTTACTGGAAGAGTTTTTTAGGGAGGTCACAGAATCATAGTTAGAATCCACAACATAAAAGGAGGCAAGTTGTAACGTCTGATCTTGGTCCTTAATTTTTTAGGTTTGGGCCAACAGATATCCTGCAATGACAAAAATTACAGGATAATCAATAATCTCAGGGAGAAAGCGAAGTTTTACTCTATTTAAGGCGGAGTAGAAAATGTTTTGTGAAAACAGCAGAAACATACAGCTTGTTCCAGGGAATATAACGGAAAGGAAGGTTCCAAGTGAAGAGAGAAAGGATAGAAGCCACAAGTGTCTGTGAGCAAGCTGTCTTATCCCATGCGGACTCCAAGCTTTCCAGTAAGCCAGATGAAATGGGAAATGATAAAAAAAAAATGACTCATACATACCATACACACTTTATATAACTTAAAACATAAATGTGCACACATGTGTCTATCTTTTGATGTAAGGCCAAGGCTTGTTCTCTGCATATGGATCTGCTGATTAGAGTTATGCATCTTCTGTCTTACAAAAACCACATCCTCCATCTACTATTTTCAGTATTGCTTTATTTAAAGTGGAAAAAGAACCTGGACATGTTTCTGAAATCATGTGAATGCAGAGTCTTTCTAGATTTTTATAACCCATGCCACACTCAGTCCTTTTTTCCTTCCCCCTGTGCTTTCTTTTCCCTGTCCCTCAAGCCCTTATCCTGGCTTTTCTTGTATTCAGAAAGAGAGGCTAGAAGTTAATGAATGAGGTGGGTGAGAAGGAAGACAATGGGTCTGAAGCTCCGGAGGGTTACTTTGGGTCCCCTGTTTTTCATTCCTGTTCCTTTAGCACTCACAGCTAGGAATTGAGCCTGCTTGCTACATTTGCTATCTACCCTTTTACTTCACCTGAGCTTTTTTTCCACTTAAGTATGGACCAGTATTAATATTCATTCTCTTTCAATCTCTTTCTTCCAACTGGATTTACAGAGAATTACTTTCAATAAATAGTACCAATGTCAACCAATGTCAATGGGGTTAGGTCTACTCTATCCTAACACATCATAAATTTCTTCCATTTCCAGTACAAGGCATTCTTTTCCTGTTCTTAGGAATTCAGCACAAATTTTCTCAGTAAGCAGTCTCCCTAACTGGGAAGTCTCTCTCACTGGTGTACAGCACAGATTAAATAGAGAGTCAGACTTATGATCTGCCCAGCATCTCCTGAGTGCTTACTATGGTTCATTAATCTGTCCAATAACTGTACATTGTGGGCATCACCTTGCTTGTGATCACTGAGGTGGTGTTACCATCCTAAACCTCCAGTATGACTCAGTGTGATGCCTAGGGTCACACACGAAGTGTAAGATTTGAGTTTATGTAACTGGGCCTCAGGATCCAGGGCCTTACCCTCCATACTGTACTGCCTCTTCTCAGAATATTCAGGCTCAGGTGAAATCACTTACAACTTGGAATAATTTCCTTATTGATGTGCACTGTAGTGAAGATTCCCTTTACCTACCAATTACCCTCATCAATATATAGAGAAAACATTATAAGAAAACATTAGCTTGAGGCATTCATCTAATTGTTCCAAAGTGATGTTTATCTATTTCAGGCCACAAAAAACTACCTGACCAAACTATGCTCAACAATTAGAAAGAGATGACAAAGGGCAATACATCTGCTCATCAGAAAAGCAATTCCCATTCAATACATGTCATGATCTTTCTTGAACAAACAACACCTACAACAAGAGTAAGAGATTAGAGAACAAGACTCATGAAAGAGGGTAGAAAAAGTGGAAAACACCAAGTAGTCACTTGCTAAGAAATGAAATAATCTACTTACTTTTTTGGTACATTTCTTGACAGTGTTGATTAATTCTTGCATAACCAAATCTACACTCTTCAAGGAAGGCCCTTTCAGTTTCACAATCTGTTTCTTGACTATTGCTTCAAATGCCATGTCCGGTGTAAACAATCCTGTCCTGAATGTGAGAGAGAAAGCAGCTTATTACATCTACAAAACTAAGTAGCATCCAGTAATCTTTAGAAAATGTTTAGATTGGCATGCCATTTAAATTAAGCATATAACATACCAAGGTTTAAAAGCTATGTAGTAATTTGTTCTATGCACAGTACCATTATAGTATATTTTGCTTGTTTGATTGTGGTACTGAGGCTTAAAACCAGGGCCTTCCCACTGAGTTATATCCCAATCTTTTAATTTTGTTTTTCAACTTTAGGACAGGTTCTTACTAAATTGCCCAGGCCAGCCTCAAACTCACGATCCTCCTGTCTCAGTTCCTTGAATAATTGGGATTGAATAACAGGTACCACCAACAAGTCTGGCATAATAATATTTCTTTTTTTTTTTTTTTATCGGTACCGGGGATCGAACTCACGACTGCCTGCTTGCAAGGCAGGTGCTTATGCCGCTGAGCTAAATCCCCAGCCCCTCATAATAATATTTCTAATAGTGCTAAACCATAGTAGGTTTCTCATCTCCATGGGGGGATTAACATGATCTACAAACAATTCCCATGAGCTGGAAATGGAGCTCAGTGACGGAGCACTGGAATAGCATGTGGGAAGCCCTGGGTTCCATCCCCAGCACCACAAAGCATAAACCAATCATAAATAAAGACAAAAAAATCCCCAATATATTTTAATTACCTATCATGTGAGTTGTAACTAGTACTTAACTGTCATTTGTCTCATCTCACAGCTTCAGAGCAACAAAAAGGAATGTAGCCAGTGCTCCGTGTCAGCAGCTTCCCTGTCTGTAGATTCAACCAACCACTGACTGAAAATATTCAGAGGAAAAATGCATCTGTCCTGAACATGTACAGATGCTTTCTTGTCATTGCTTTCTAAACAATATAGTATAACAGGCATTTACATAGCACTTCCATGAAATACTTTTAATATTACAAGATGACTATGAATTAAATTATGAATATATAAAAATAATACATGATAGTCAAAATCACACATATTTTCCTTTTAACTGGAGTTAATTCAAATTGGTGTCATAACAATGCTTTTATGATACTGAGCAAGAAATCTGGAAAGCAGATATGTTAAATGTGGGATGTGTGCTTCACGAAAAGTGGAAAAGTATTACTCTAAAGCACACAGAAGGTCAAAAGGGAAAATCTAAAGAAGAGGACCTCTACTTCACACACTGAATTCACTCTCTTCCTGGTATTGGCCATGTCCAAGGACTTCTAGATTCAAAGATTTGCCACTTGATCTTTCCTGATCCTAAACTCTCTCTCCTCTCCTCACTCCTTTTTTTTCTCTTCCTTCAACTACTCAATTCATGGGACTTCTTTTGGGAAATTTCTTTAACACTTCCCTTCACCAATTTCACTCAGTATCCCTTCTTGTCACTTACTGAGCATCCTGGACTGCTCTGTTTTTGGTTAAAGCATTCATATTATAATTGTGATTTCTCCACTTTGGGTCTAGGGTAACATTCACAATGTCTCCCCTTAAGGATACAACTGCAAGTGTGTTTAGGGGTGTTAAATAGCTGACCATATTAATGTTTTTGGTTGGATCATTGAACACAACTGTTTGCAGTCTCTCTGTTTGAATGTCCACTTTGTATGCTTTGATACTGTGACTTGAGCAACTGTCTCTAAGATGATAATGTGTAATCTATTAACTGGTGATTTCTTACTGGTTTTTTTTTTTGGTTTTTTGGTTTTTTTTTTTTTTTTTTTTTTTTGTAGTTCTGTATTACTTGTACCCTTATACCGCTTTGTTTTGTTTTGTTTTTTTCTCTTTTTCCTTTTAATTAAATTTAAAAAAATGTCTCCCCTTGTTGGACCTTAATGACCTAAAGGATTGTCCCACTAATATATCTCATATTCAGGGCATTGCACACTTCTTATCATCTCACAGATAAATTAATCTTGGAATGCTAACAACAGCCAAAGTCTTCTGTTGGAATGCATACAAATTAGAAATCCACAATTCTGAATTATGAGGCAATTATCTTCAGCAAAATGTTTATCTGTTATGGAGTTTTACAGTCAAAGTAAAAGAATTATATTTGGTTGAGCACAAGTATTTAGTGATTCCCCCTGAAAAAGAGTGACATGGTTCCACTGTGTTTATCAAATAAAGCTATGCATATATTAGATCCACCCAGATAAAGAGCCAAGATAGCATCTATAACAAGTGTACTTCAGATCTGATAAAGAGGAAACAGAGTAAGAAACTTAGAAATTCTGTTGATAGACAAAATTATCAGATTTGATTTTAGATCTTTTCCCCTTTTCATTTTGTAAACTCCTACTTCCTCATACTATTTGAGGCTTGGGAGCAAACTGTCCAAATTTGTCTATGACTGAAAATTTTATTATAATTCCTTTGGAAAATTGCCTGTCCCATGCACCCTCAGTGTCACTCTTTGCCCTCTCAGAGTCTGTTCCCAACATGGTCTCAACTTGGCCCTGCAGCAGAAGCTGAGCTACTCCTGACCACAGGCACACACCTTTCATGAGAAGAAGTTAATCAACTAGGTTGTCCTACCTTGAATTCTGTACACTTCTAATTAGCATATGCTCCCTGAATTATGTTTAGCCACCTATACAAGAACTCTAGAAATGTTTTGTAAAACAATTATGATAGTTCTTTAAAGAAAGTACTCTGGACTGACTTACGTATTAGGCCTAAAATTCACGTACTGAAATTCTACCCATGATGGTTAAAAGCTGAGAGAAAATTAGGTCATAAGGGTGGAGACCTCCAGGGTGGGATCTGTACCTTTTTGAGAGGTAGAGAACTAACTACTCTCTGTCTGCCCTATGAGGATACAGCGAGAAGCTAAGCAGTCTACAAACTGGACGGACTCTCACCAGAACCCAATCATGCTGGCAACCTGATGCTGGTCTTCCAGCTTCCAGAAGTAGGAGGCATAAACTTTTGTTTATAAGTCAGCCATACTATGGTAACTTGTTATAGCAGCCTGAGAAGACTAAGCTAGAAAAAAACTTAGAATAATCTCACGCTAAACCACAGGAAACTGAGGCATGCATTTGCCCCAGACCACCCTCCTAACTCATGCCTCCTTCTCTTCTACCCACATTCCTCTTCCCAAACAAAATGCGGAACCCCAGCTCCTCAGGTCCTGCTACACTTTCCCACCTCTGTGTCTAAGCTCACTTTTCTTGCATCCTCCAAGCTCAACAACTTTATCCCCTCTTCTTACAGCTTATTGTGTCTTCACCCACTCAGACACGTGCACACACACATAAACACAGCACATGTCAGCTTGTTGAACGCATTCTCTAAAAAGGCAAGGTGGATTTGAAAGCAACCTTCATGACTCTTTCCCAGTCTTGCTCCACAACTCCAGTCAAAATTAATTTGTTCCTTCTCTGTGTTAATAATGATTATTTATGAGCATGTCAGCCCTCTCTCATTAAATTATAAAGCTTTAGAGAACAGGGTCTTGCCTATCTTTGAATCTCTTAATGTGTAGAGTACAGACTGTGAGTACAGAAAGCATTTTGAAATTACCACTAAGCCAAAACTAAGATTTCCCATATCTGACTCCCACCTCTTTCTTTATTCTTTATTAAAAAGGTGACTTTACTAGCCATTTATTCATTTTCCTGTGATATCTTGAACTGAAGACAGGAAAATGTGAAGCACTTGCCTGATACCATGTATGTTTTTGATTGCATAGCTTATTTCTCTTCGCAATTCTTTCTCATTGAACTCCATCTGCAAATGCAAAATGAGCCATGGTTATGACACTTAATTCCTTTGAATAGTAATATTGTTGAATATTACAGAATGAGGGTAACTTGACTCAGTTATTAATAAATGGATACTCATGCCTCTCCTCAGCAAAACCCAGATGGTCAAAACATCTGTTTATATGAAGTTCAAGGCAACATCGAACACTAGGGATTTCTGGGAACGTTAGAGCAACAGATTTTAACTCTAATATATGGAAGAAGTGCTGTGCATAAACAATTCCTTCGGGACAGAAATCTAGCCATTCATTTGAGACATGGAATTCTTTATTTCTTTGCTGAATATAGTAAATTTGAGGTGAATGTATTAATGTTGGTATCACCTGATGAGCAATAGCCAGCTGGCCTGAGAGTAATAGGGGCTGTCTTTGTTCCCTGGCCATTTTAACCACCTGAATTCAAGGCCTCTCTATAGAAGGAAATTAATAATATTTCATCAAGACAATACAGGATAGATTACTGTATAAATGTTTCCCAGACGTCCTAGGTGCCATAAATCTACTTGGTAGTACGATCAAAGCACCATGGAGCATCATCCCGAAAGGGACATCCAAAGAATGGGAGCTCCAATCTGACTCGGATCCAGCCTCTCCTGCCTTCTGTCTCTCCCTTTCCTTCCTAAAGCTTGATCCTCTAAACAGTGACTTATCGCAGGTCTCTACCCACACCTTGTGGCTTCACAGTTCAGTCTTAATCACCCCTCCTTTGCTCTCAGAGTCACCCTCAGGCCTCCCCCACCTCTTAGCGCTTCTCCAGCCACCATCTTTCCGAACTCAGCTTAGCATCCTGGCTCCCTGGAGCACTTGGCCTGGGATTCATGTTTGTGGGCTGTGTTTCCATAGCACCCTGTGCTGAAATTTATCACTTTACTTAGCACATTTTAATAAAACTATCTATTTACCCATCTGCTTCCCACACCATGACATAAACACCCACCTCTTTGCCTGTGAGGCACATAGGACAGTCTCTAATACTGCTTAACAGCCTTACTGGGCATTTCAAAATTAGCAAACCCCAGAAAGAACTCTTGATTCACAACTCCACACCAACCCAGCTTTTCCTCAGTTTCCCTCATCTGATGAGTACCACCACACAGCTGTGAAAATCAGAACCTTGGGAGTCATCTAGAAGCTTCTCTGTTTTCCAGCCCCTGTATCTATCTAATGCCTATCAATCTTACCTCTACAATCCCATTTCCTTCATCTACTTCTATTCTCTCTCATGAGGATATTTTTGTTTACTAGGAAGCTAATGAAATTTACATTTCAAAGTTTCTCCCTTGCAAAAGACCTCTTCCAAGACCCTGTGCCTAATTGTGTGTATAGCTTTATATTCTTTATCTTTAAAGGATCTTCCAAGATTGTAGAAGTTTCAGGCCTTGCATAAAGTGGTTCCAGTTCTGGTCTGGCCTTACTGTTTTCTTTGCCTTCCCAGTATCTTGCCCCTTTACAATCTAGCAGGCACAGTATTTAAGATCATCAATCACCTGGGTCACATCCCTGCTTAAACCTTTCTGCAACAGCTCATTGTTAAACGTAAACACCTCACTCTAAGCCAGATTCCTTGTGATCTGGACACCGTCCTCTCTCTCTGAATTCACTGTCCTCTTCATCACTCTGCATCAGCCACATCCATGTTCACTGTTTATACTCACTGCTGTGTTAGGGCTTCACCTAAGGATGCTCCTCCTTTGAATAACTCTCTTCCCCCGGACCATCACATGGCTGCCCATTTCATGCTGTTCTGTCATGATTTCAGGGTCCCCTGCTCAGGCAGCATTTGCTGAATGTCCCATTAAAAGTGGCTCTCACCTCCTATTATATTTGTGATACTTTTTCTCATATTGTCCATTTATTAATTTTCAATCTTTCCCCGCTATACAAATTAAAACTCTATTTTGATCATTGGCATCCAGAACTTTGGCACATGGTAGGTGCTCAAAAAATTTTATTAATTAATTAGACAACCATAAACGTTATAGAAAACTTAGTATTAATTTAAATGATTTGAAATGTTGTTAAATGTCATTAAATAAAAACAGAAAAGAAAATACTTCTCTCCTGAATTTCATTACCCAAGTTTAAAGGTTTTTGTTCAAAGAGCTATCTAATCCCACACCACTCACATAATACGATATCCAGGGATTTTTAAAACAGAATATGAAAAGGAATAGAATGAAAGAGGAAAAATGACATTCGGTACAGACCTTCACTATTTCAAAAGGAAAGCGTTCGTGGAAAATGCGATTGATTTTAGCACCACCTGAGAGCTCCAAAGTGTCTACTTGATCTCCTGACCCTTCAATTCTCTTCTCAAAGTCCACAGCAAATTGCTGAACCATCCTACAATGTGAAAGAGAAATAACTTCAAATTAAAGTTGCATAGCTTTGCATTCCTTCTTTTATTTTTCTATGATTATTCCTTGAAATCCTTTTCTAGTGTTCTTAGTGGCACCTACTGGTAGAGCGAACACTATACCTTGTTCAGCTCCTTAAGTTTTATTATGTGAAATGCCCAGTTAAGACTTTAGACATATAACTAGTGTAAATATTTTAAATATCTTTGTCTTTGAATTTTGAGCTAGGCTTGGTGATGCCCACCTGTAGTCTCAGCACTCAAAAAGGTGAGGCAGGAGGATTGCCATGAGTTTGAGGCCAGCCTGGGTTACCTAGAGAGTTCAAGACCAGCCTGAACTACATAGAGACCCTGCATGCTCCAAAAATGAATTCTGACCATTTGGCTGCAACTACGAAATGATATTTAAAGAATACCTGAATTAAAAATTAAAGTTATGTAATCAAATTTAAGTAGGTTAGTCACACCCATTTCCACTCCTGAAATGTCACACTACTCAGTGTTCCACCTGCCTCAGTTGTACCCTTTGACTTCAGGAGCTGCTGTTCCTCCCTCAGTACTTCAGACTCTGTCTCTCTTCCTTGTCCTAAATATTTGCCCTGCATGATCTCAACGGTGGTCACAGCTTTAAGAGTTATCAAGAAGCCACAGTTTTCTAGCTCTTTAATTTTTGAGAGTGATTGGCCCATGTGCCCAGCTGTCTACTGGAGTTTTATTTTCTCTTAGCTGCCTTGAGCTCAGCATACCTGAAACATGAACTGATTAACTTCTCTCACTCCCCAGATAGCTAATTCTTCTGTATTCCCAAATGCCTCCTCATGATGGATGGCATTATCTACCCAAACAGGAATTTGGGGCCTCCCTGCACACCTCATTTTCCCTCATCCCGTATTTTATTCTGTCTCCTTTTCATTCCTCAGACAAGAAACACTTCCTTTTTACCCCCTGCTTCTGCCATGGCTCATCCCTCAGCACCTCCTGTAAACGTCTGAAAACACCAGAATGGTATAATGGAGCTCAGGCATTGAAACAGTGGAAAATTTAGAGGACAGATCTCCAGCTACTCTCTCCCCTCTACTCTGCAAGCCACGTAGCCCACCCCGTGACCTGAGAACCAGCTGCACCAACACTCGCACTGTTCTCTTAATCTCCTTCCACCTGACAATTCCCCCTGATACTTCTGGTCTCAAACACCAATTTCTTGGTCAGTTCACGCCATTCTTCTCACATCACTACTTCCTTATATGGGCTCCTAACACTTCATATTTACGAGAAATGGTACTCACCAGATGCTGAAATAACTAATTGCTCATTTATCTGCATTCCCAGAACCTACTCTGACTTTTGAAAGCAAAAAATTTATGTACTGTTGAATCTTTGGAAGATATCCCAGGACCAGACTATGGGTAGTGTATATGAGACTGGGAGAAGAAAAGAGGCGGAAGAAGGGGGTCCGGGGGGGAAGAAATAGAACAGAAAAGATAGGGCCATAGGAATGAGCTGAATCAGCTCGTTTCAAGTCAACGATCTAACTGTGAAAAATTCTGTAATCTGAGTCCCATGAAGTCACAGAGGCAAAGCTGTCTTTATATTCCAGTTTCAGTGGATGTTAAGATAATGGCCGAGGGCCTAAAGAGAAATACCTTTCCTTTCTCTGTAACTCAAAGAGTTTTTATAAGAGCTGGACTCTCATAAGGGAACTGCGGAAGTGTTACATCTACGACAAATTCTTATCTTAGTATGATCCTATAATTTTTGAATGAAGAAATATAAGTTGATTCATGTAAGATGTTATATAAAAGGATTATGGAACCATAAGAGGTATCAAATGTTATCTTTAAAGAGACACCTCAGGCAGGAGTCCATCAGTTCAGAGGGACCTGATGGAAAGGGCAGCACAGGGGTAAGGGGACAGATGATCCCAAAAGTGGTCCAGGGTGAGAACAAATGGATAAGACACAAGATTCTGGTAACTCTCTAATGACTCTACCACCCCAACAGAACCCAAAGATAAGACAGGACGTGCAGGAGTAAAAGATGCTTGGAGGTTTTCACATCTACACTTTCAAAGAGCTACATTAAAATCATTACCAAAAAGGAAAATGAAAAACAAATGTGGACTTACTGTCTGAGCTGCCACTGAAAAAGTGCACAGGGATAAATCACATGAAATAATGGAAATATAAAGATAATAAGGACCAGGAATATCTACAAAAGCAATGATAACATTCAGGTGAAGTTTTCATCTGTATTTACTCACTTCTAAAATTAAGGACACAAAGAACCTTGCTGATCCTATGAGTTTTATTCACTGACTAAATCCAACTTAATTCAATTAAATTTGGCATGGAACTAATAGGTTAAGTTTACAACATCAGAGCAAAAAAACATTCTGTAAGACCATATAAGAATTATAAGATTCCTGTACAGCACAGAGAACTCCCCATTTCCTTGTTGCTTTTATCAAGCTAGGAAACAACCTGACAAACAGGCTAACACAAAAGCAAGCTGGAGGAACCAGTTTGAAGTGAATAGAGGAAGAGAAAGGAACCTACTGCAAGAGGGCTTTGGTCTTCCTAGTGGGGTCTTCTGGCTTGAAGTTTTTGTAGGCTTCCACTTCGTGTTCTATGGACAACAACTGCCCCTGCAGTTTGTTCCTGAAGTTGGGCAGGGTGTCTCGAATATGGTTGGTGAGTTGCTAAATGAAACAAAACAAAATGGAACAGCAGATTAAAGATTAAGTGGAGACAAAGATCAGCCTCACTGTTTTCCTAATCAATTACAATCCTAGAGATACAGACAGAGACAGAGATGTTAAGAAGGTTAGGTAAATAATAAGAAGCACCATCTTTCTTCATTGCGCTTTAGAGCTGCTCAAAATTCTCTCAATTAGATAACCCACCTGAGTTATCATTTTATGTCCTAGAAGACACTGTTAAAATGCAGTTCTTACCACCATGAAACTGCCCAATAACACTGTAGCATGGATTGGTTTATCAGATCACCTACCATGCAGAAAGCAGCCTTAAAGTAGAATGTGGTAGGAATGAAGGAAACCAAGAATTCTAGGTGTCTGATGTTTTTGAGGACAAATGAATTTCCCCATTTCTGGAGCTCAGGGCGTCAAAAACACCACAGGCACCCACTCTCTGCTAATTTTCTCTGCCTCCTGCAACCCAGCCAGGTGCTTCCTCTTTGCTCCATGTCTAGGCATTAGTCCATCTCTGGCTAGTCGCTGGCTTCTGCCTTCAAGGGCATCAACCTAAAACTTGCATGACCAAGAAAGGGAAGCTTTCACTGCTACTGACATCTCTACCTGGCCTGGAAATGCTTGGCACTTCCTCTGAGATCAGCAGGCGTCCTGAGCTCAGCACAGTGAAAACTTTCTAAGAAACTGCCTAACAGTGCCTGATTCATTAAGAACAAAGCTGTGTATGAGCCCAGATTGCTCAGCTCTCTGTCATATGCTTTCTCTGCAGTGCATCTGAAGAAAAATCTGAATGAAAAGAAAAAGGTTGATTTTCCTAAACTGCTTGAATATAAACTGAGAATGAAGAGAAAAAGATAACATAAAATACAATAGATATACAAAGAAAAGAAAAATAATTTGAAAGAATATATGCAGACTGACAAAAGGAATTATTTTAAATTATCTTTATGTGTATCTCCCATAAGGATAAGTTACCTGAATAAATCTATTCAATAAATTTATAGCTACTTAATTATCAATAGTTCTTGGCTACAGGATTCCCCCTGCCTATAGATGTGAACTGTTGTGTTAATACCCCAGCATGTGTTGTTCTTGTAGCTGTCAGAGCAGAAAACAATAGAATGGAGCAGATTACGTTGCTATTGGCAATGTCACAAGAGGTAAGGACTCAAATCTAAAAGTAACAGCAAGTCTGAAAACTCAGCAAACTGCCATATGAGCTGGTGTACAAATACTTGGTTCCCATTTTTTGCTTCTCATATACCTCAACAGTGGAGAAATTGTGGCCCCTTTTGGCTTTGTAAAATACTTCTTTCCTTGGTTTTCATAACCACAGCTCCTCTAATTTTTCTCCCAATCATTCTGGACACAACCATGTCCCTCTCCTTTGATAGTTCATTATCCTCATCACACTGGTAATATTGAGATTTCTCAAACGTGATATTAGGCTTCTTAGTTTGTACCCTGTTGTGTCTTAAGATAATCTCATTGTATCCAAGCTCACTGAGCATCTAAACCCTGTGACCATGAAAACATTATCTCCAAACAGGACTTCTTATTTCTCCTGAGGGCTTACATATTGGACCACTTTCATGACTCCTCCTCTCAGATGTGTTGATGACATCTTGGCCACAACACGTCCCAAGTCAAATAAATAATTGTTACAGTTAGGTTCTGGAACCCACATTTTGGATGAAGGCTTGGTTCCCAGTCTGTGTTCCTTCAGGAAAGTAGTGGAACACTAAGGGGTAGAGCCTAAAGGAAGAAAACAAGATCGTCTGGGGCATAATTTTAATAGCAATACTGGGACTCTGACCCATTTTCTCTGTCTTTACTTCCTGACCACCATGAAGTGAGCCAACTTTATACCATCAGCTCCCATCATGATGTGATATGCTGCCACAGGCTCAAAGCAACAAGATAAAAGAATCAAGTCAAGGTGGTGAGTGACCATGAAGGGGGTATTAGGATCCTGGGTGCTTCTCTAGTGTGAGCTCCCAGCCTGATGACCTGTACGGCTATAGGCAACAGGCCCAAGAAACCATACTGACTCCAAGAGCCAAAATAAATTTCTCTCCTTTATAAGTAATTTGTTTTAGGTATTTTGTCACAGAGTAAAAATATTTCAAGTTTATTGCCACAATGACACTGATCTTCCCCTCAGGGATCTGCATCTACTCCATAACAATTTGGAAATGTGAGATTCCCCACTCCATCATCTACCAGTTCTAATCCACCACCAAGTTTTCAATTGTCCTAAATATTTCTCAAATGTATTGATTTTTTTTATCTCTACTAGTAGTACCCAAGATGAAGGCATCATAATTTTTTATTTTTACTCTTAATTGATTTTCCTAGTTTTACTCCTAACAGATCTACAATTAATCTTCCTATGCATTATACCATACTCTTTCTTAACCCACAGATCTGATCATATCATCCAGTCCCATTCCCAGATCTCTTAAATGACTCTCTGCCACTAATCGTTAACTTGGCCTACAAACCATACAGGCTCCACCCTTGGTCTACATCTCCATCTTCACCTCTTACAATTCATCCCCTCTTCCTCTGCCTTCCAAGTATAATGACATTTCATTCATTTCCTCCAAAATTTCATGCCTTCTTCTAGTTTTTTCCATGGAAAATGTCCTTTAGTTTAGAGGTATTGGTACACATTGAATCAGCAAAAAAAAAAAAAAAAAAAAAAAAAAAAAAAAGTTTTTCCTTATTTCAAACATAGTATGAAGACTTTAGACAAAATAGTGGTTATCCAGGAAAGGATGGATCTTCCACACAAAATTCATTCAGTCTTCAGTCAACCACAACCCAAGTATGTCATAACTTGGTGATCACCTATAATAATAGTTAATCACCTCCTTCTTTCTAATCATATTAGTGACTTTTTAGGTTATTTATATTTTTGCTAGATTAGTCTAGGTGTTCAAGCAAAACTCTAAAGAGTGTTTTATCAGTTCTGACTATTTATTTGTAGACTATTACAGTTCTTGGATGGCAAACTGGTTCTAAATCCCTAAAATATTTCATATTTTTAAAATGACACAACCAAGTGTCGTCTCATAGTTTGCAAATACTCTTTATCCTTAACATAAAGGAACTCTTCTACATTGTTGGTGGCAATGTAAACTAGTACAAGCACTATAGAACTCAGAGGGAGAGTTCTCAAACCTAAAAATAGAAATTCCATTTGACCCAGATATTCCTCTCCTGGGTATCTTCTTGAAAGAGTTAAAGCCTTCATAGTACAGTAATATATCAATGTCCTTAATTTAAAAGAACAAACTTTATGGTAGCCTCTATTGTACCACCCCAAATAGAAATATACCACTGCTTTTTAGTTTCTAAAGTATCTCTAATTTTTCCCTAAATGGTTCAAATGCAGTATCATTTGCTGGGACAGCCTCTGCTGATACTTTCAAAGTGCTTCGTCAGAAAGTTTAATAACTACCTGATCTATTGACTACCTTAAAAAATAGGAGTTAGAACACAATTCATGATTTGTGAGGAAACTGCCTCACCACACAAAGGCAACTGTAATCAAAGCTCAGGAAAAGGGCCCTGCACTTAATAACGGTGACACCTATCATGACACTTAACTCCAACAGGGGCACAAATATGTGTCACCAAGTAAGTGTGTTGACGTTTTGTGGGAAAATTATGTAGGCATAAGAAGGGGAGTAGGCAGAGGGCCAGTTCCAATTCTATTTATTTTAGGGAAATGTGTTATCTTTGATTAGTGAAAATCCATGGATACTTTATCAGGATTTGTTGTTTTGAAGAGTATAAATTAAGAAATAAATCAATTATAAGCACAAAACAGTCTAACCTTCCAATTACAGCTTCATATTTCAAAAACAGATGCCAAGATATCAAGTTTTCAGAGCTATATACATTTAACTTTCAAAGATAACTACACATGAGTGAGTACATATTTGTATGTATATTCCTGTTCACTGAACCTACCCGATGGTATGTTTCTGCTTTGAGCACTGTCCTGAAAATTATTAAGATGAATTCAATTCACCAAGAAGGGAAATTGTATGAATTTTCAAGTACTCATGTTCATCTAAAAACTTTCTATCATTCCAGCTGAATATAAATTTAAATGTATGTAAATTTTGGAAATATAAATTTAAAAATAAGAAATATGAATTGCAGTAGTCAATAGATTTCATAACGTTCTTGTTTCTTGAAACAACATTTTTACCTGATTGAGGACCTTCTGAAGGTGTGGGGTGCCCATACGATCAGCAATATGTCTGTAAGCAGGATGGGAAAGGAAAAATTTCCTCTCTGCCAGCATGGCCGCTTTAATGTCCTTCTTCCCATCTATGTCCTTCTGGCTTCTGTTCACTACCCCTACATAACCTGAAACAAAACAAAGGGCTTTACATACCTGCAGTCACTTTTTCTAGGGAGGCTTCAAGGTTCTTCAAGAGACCAAGTAAAAAGGTAAAATTAGTTTTAAAGCAAGAAGAGTGGATCATTTCATAAAATGCTGAAACGGCAGCATTTCAAAACAGATGCTGACTCGGCTAACGATAATTTTTAGAATTAACAAAATAATACTGCTCTCTTTGAAAAGCTTTATGCATTTTAAGAATGTATGTCTCTTACCAGTTGTGTCATATACTCGGCAAATAATTATCACATGTAAAACAGTATGGCATTTATGTAGTGTACAATGAATATTTATAACCTCCCTTCAAACCCTTTCCTTTTCCTGTCATTTTTTTAAAAAATTCCTGTTATTTTAAGAATAGTTCTGCTTTTAGATCATTGTAACACACCATTTGGGAATATCGTGCCACTTCATTAGAAGTATAGCTAATAAATTCATTCTTCACAACAGAGGATGCATAAAAAGCAAGCATCTCAGTAGTTTCCCAGGTGTTCCTCTGTCACATTATCAAAGAAAATCCTGTAGAGAGTACAGTACGTTACCCCTGCGAAGAGGCAGCAGCTTATTCTCTAGAACATCCCTGGCATCTGTTCCTTCATCCATAAGATCCAATTTGGTGATCACTCCAATGGTCCTTAGACCTGCATCATAAACAAACATAGCATTACAATATTTGCAGAAAACTAACAAATTTTAGCAAATATACATTTCAGTGCTGAATGTAAAGCTCCTATTTTCCTGTTCTTCTTTGTCTTACTTTTCTTCTTATCCACTGTCCCCCAGGTCTGGGGGATTTCTATAATGTAAAGAAGAGAGTTGCAAAATCACCCACCCATAAAATAACTTCCTATCCAAGAAAGAAAAACAAATGTCTATGAAAATACTTCTGAAAACCATCACGTATTGCTTTACCATAAATGTATGTGTTCAAAAGTGTGCCATTTATAGATCTCATCACAATGCAAACATCATACTGTGCACTTCTGTAAAGCTAAATGGCATGGATCAGCCTCTCAAAGTCGCCTCTTGATGGGAGAGACTCAGCAAACACAAGATGCATGAGGCTGGTGCCAGAGTAAGACAGCATACTGTTTTACAGTGAATTCTTTTTATAAATAGAAGTAGTACACTCAAAAAAAGTGCTTAATAGTATAGTGTAGCCAGGCACAGTGGCATGCACTTGTAAATCCACTATTTCAAAGGCTGGGGGGCAGGAGGATTACAGTTTAGAATACAACCTGGGCAATTTGGTGAGATTCTGTTTCAAAATTTAAAAATCTCAAATGGGTTGAGTATATAGCTCATTGGTAGAGTCCATGGGTATGACCCTTAACTCTGCAAAAATATTTCATTATTTAACAAACAAACCACTAACAGTCATTTATTATCATTAGTAAGCACTAAATATTGTACATAATTGTAGGTGGTACAATTTTATATCTCTGGCAGTATAGTACATTTGTTTATATCATCACCCCAAAAACACATAACCAATGTATTGCGCTACAGTATTACTATGCTATGGTGTCACAAGCAATAGGAACGTTTTGGTTCCATCACGATCTTACAGAAAGGCTGCCATACATATGCACTATGTCCTGAACTCAAGTTACTATGAAACCTGTAGCTAGTTTATTTTTGAGCCCTATATGAATGGAAACTAACTTTCTTTTTAACTTTCTTCCCAATACTCCACCTAATATAGATGTTTTATTTATATTAGGTTATTAAAAGCAAATAAATAAACAAGTAGCTTGTGCATGAACCAAATAAATAAACAAGTAGCTTGTGCATGAAGCAATTAGAGTGTATCATAAACCATGGATTATTATTGATCCAGTTCTGAGTACTTAAAATGAACAAACAAACAAGTAAATAAATCAGGGCAGTGATGTCATCAAAATAAACCTAAAGGTCTCACAGTATTTTCTGTTTCTTAGAAAATGAAATGTGATTTCATGAAAAGAAGACTGAACCAGGAATTGTCAAACTTGGATTCTACTGTCAAGGCAGCTACTAAGCACTCTGGGTCTCAGTTTCCCTCCTCTGTACAACAAAGATTTAGAGACTGTGAACTCTAAGGTTCCTCCCAAGAAGCAAATGACATTAGAACCCAGACACACAGCATTTTAAATATATGATATTTGTCCTTGGTTTTGTTCATGAAATTGAAAGTATTATCTCAGCAATTGATATTAGTGAATATTTCTTTGGATGGCGAGTTAAATGTGGTTACTTGAATATAGATTATCTTTCGTCTGAAAATACTCCAAAATAATAATGGTTAATATCTATTGAGCCAGCTATGGATTTAAATGTCTTTTATATCTTTAATATTCTAATCCTAAAATACGATACAGCTACAAATTTTGGAAATGAGCAAACAAAGGCACAGTGAGACTAAATTTGCCTAAATCACATCATCATATATTGGTGGTGAGTCCAGGCACTGTAGAACCCAAGCTTATAAGCAATATGCTTCTCACAGTGAAAAAAAAATAATAATCAAACTGAAAATCTTAAAACAAGTGAAACCTCAAAGAAGACTGAAAGAAAGAAAAGGAAATGGAAACCCAGAAAGATGAAGTCGAACATAATAAACTAGAAAAAAGCACAAAAGTGAATTCAAGGAAATCAATAAGAATCCCAGAAGTGAGGTAATTTATATTAAAACATCTCAGAGAGATTCAGATCCTGAATATAATGATGAAGGATGGTAAGAGCTGAGGCTGAAAACAGGATCCTGGGAGGAAAGCAATCAGATTTTCACTGCTAATGTAACAGGACGCTGCTTTTGGTCCATTCTGGTTGAACTGTGTAGGGTCACGTTTTTGGAAAGACTGAGCTAGAGAAACCTCTGAATTCAAAGGCATCAGCTCTTAGGGCATTAGGCATGGAACAGAATTTCAACATAATGGACAGTAAGATTCTTCTCCCCCTCAGTCCAGTTCCTTGTTCGAACACTGAGAAAAAGCTTGCTGGCAGACAGTTAGCTCTCCAATATCCCTCTACCTCTTCCAAGCAAGACACTGTAAGAACTCTGTCTAAGTACAGTCCTCACTCCAAGAGAAAAACATAGATGCTGACATTCAGAGGAACTCAATTTTTGAACATCCAATAAGTTCAGTAGTGATTTTGACCATACAACCACTTATTAATATTTTATCTATAACAACAAAGGATACTGCAGATCTTGTCTGAGACCAAAATAAAGTGAAAATATCAGAAAATAAAGATAATGTAAAATATGAAAGTAGGGGCTGGGGATTAAGCTCAGCAGGATAAGCACCTGCTTGCAAACAGGTGGTCGTGAGTTCGATTCCTAGTACCGATATAAAAAAAAAAGAAAAGAAAGTAAACATTATTACTTTATTAATATCCTTAAAGAAAAAAATCATTGTACTTATGGAACAGAAACAAAATATCACAAAAGATAATTCAGACACCCCTAAAATCCCCAAAATTAAAATACAATAAGGAAAATTATCAGACTGGTTAGAAAATGAAGTTAAGAAACCCTTTCAGAAGCTAAAAGAAAAAGGAGTAATACAAAAGGAAAAACATTTTTAAAAACTAAGAAATGACCATGAGGAGCTGAATAATTGATGTTGCACAGAAAAATAATCAAACAGACACAATTAGAAAGCAGAGAGAGCCTCTGTGAAGAAGCGACCTATAAAGTTAAGGATAAGACTTTGTAAACTGAATGAACTCAGCAAGTGTCCAACACAAAAGGAAGCACACACACTTTATCACTGCAGTTTCAGAACACTAGGAAAAGACAACAGATTCTGAAAAGCTCCTACATAAAATGTTAAAAGTCACATAAAAAGTGTTGGACAACCCTGTATTATCAGAATTTGTAGCAGCAAACTGGAAACCCCCCAAAAATAGAGTAATTTGTTTTCAAAATTCCAAATGAAAGTAATTTCTAAGCTAGAGTTCTACACTATCAATAAATACAATGGTGGATAGATATTTTCAAAATTGCCAAATCTGCAAATATTTTACTTTCCCCTTCTTTTTTTCTTAATCAGCTACTAAAGGATTTATTCCACAGAACAAGGGAGAAAATTAACAAAGAAGTCCAGGAAACAGGGATACAACCAAGAAAAAAGAAAATTTTCAGGATGGTATAAATCCCAGAACAGAGCCATAAAAGTAGCAACAAATATCCACTGGAATGAACACACACACACACACACACACACACAGACACAAACACACACCCACACACATGCAAATTATGGTGATAGGATCCTAATGCATAATATTTTTAAAGGTCTTGAGAGTCAGACTTCTGCAGAAGTGTTGCAAAAGCCTTAATGATAGATAGATAGATAGATAGATAGATAGATAGATAGATAATAGATAGATAGATAGATAGATAGATAGATAGATGATAGATAGATAGATAGATAAAAAGTTTGACAACAGTCAAAGAAAAGGAATCATAACTAAGCACATGACTCAGCAATGAATAACATTTTCAGATTTATAAAAATCCACACAACAAAATATGACTACATCATCACATTAGAATGTGATGGGGGAAGAGAAATGTGCATATGTATGTACATTAGAAAGTCAAAGGAGAATATACAAAGCTCAAAACAAAATAAACATGGAAATACAATGAACAGTATATTACATAGAAACATGGAAGTAAATATCAAAAGGAACAGCTAACAGGATTGCAAGTAGCTAGAAATAAGTGATAAGGAGTTAAGAACGATAAGCAAGGAACTGAATTTTTATTAATAGCCTTTGACATTGATTATACATATATATACATATATACATATATACATATATATAGTGTATAGCCTATATATAGCATATGTAGATACAGCTTTAAGAAAAGTAAAATTTGACTATGAAAGTATTTTCATCACTACCTTATTTACTGAAAAGGTGGCCACGTCCACACATAGTGGTACATCAGAAATGGTGAAGGGAACTATTTTCCTTTTCACAAATACACAGCTTAAAATAATCAATAAACTCCTGCTGGCAGACTCACTCACTACCTGCATAGATGGATCTCAAAAAGCTATTGTCAGAAGAGATTTCAAAAGTTTTAAAAGAAATCCCCAGGAAGCCTACAGACCTGGATGAAATATAGTACATTGTTCAATTCTGATGGTGTGCCAGGTTCACTAAGGATACAAAATAAAAATCATATGTGATAGGTACTATTATTTTCTCAATTATACATATTGAGAGAAGTGAGAGTTACAGAAGAAAACTATACCTGCCAAAAAGTCTGTTATGCCTTGTGCTTAGAAGTGTCCCCAAAGCCTCATGTAGTCATAGGTGGGGCTTATTCAGATGTGGCTAGATTTATAGTGATACTAGAATTGATTCATGGTACAACACTAGGATCAAGGACACTAAGATTAATTGTGTGAGTGCTACCCACCCTAAGTAGCCTCGATAAAATATAAGGGATAGAAAAAGCTGTGGTCATCCCTTGGTGCTTTGCTACCTTCTACCCACAATGAACTGTTTCTCCCCTGGGATGCCAGTCTGACTATGGAGCCAGCAGATTATGACCTGAAAACTGTAAGCTAAATAAACCTTCCCTACATTTGGACATCAGGCATTTTGTCTCAGCAATGAGAAAAGGAATTAAGAACTT